CAACGTCTGTGAGGACGAGATGTGAAGGATAGAGTTGTTGGAGATCGTGTTTCTGTCGTTCGAGGTCGTTCCGTTGCTTCGGACTCGAAACTCGCGCGTAATGTATTTGGAAGGCTGTTCGGTAGAGGATCTGGTGGATCCGGTGGGTCCGACGCAGGTGGAGAGGATGTGGGTGACATCGTAAAGACGGATGCCACTGTAGGTTCGTTCTGCTTTTACACGTCATTGAGAGTGCCAGCGACGTAGAGTTCTGGATGAGACTCCAAGCTGTTTCGATGCTTGATGAACAGAAAGAAGGTCCATTTAGTAAGAATTATCATTCTTCACAGCACACCTTCATTTCATACCTCAAAAAATCGCGTTATTAAGCAGAAAATAAAGTTTTTCAATAGCCATTGATAGCCAATAAGATCATTAGCCATCATTAGCCACAGCTCATTAAACGGTATCAGCAGCTCTACTAAACTCATTTGGATTACAATTACATACACAGTGAATTCACTTTAAAGATTCCATTTAATTATGTTCGCGTTGTGATGAAACCTTTTTCCAGAACGAATTATAACTATTACAGTTCACTTAACAAACTTTCAATTGACGCAAACGCTAAATCGAGTATTCTTCAATTCCGAGGATCAAACTTGTTAATATTAATAATATTTCGTCAACGAGACGTAAATCATTAGAGATACATAATGATAAACACATCATTATTTATCATGGTTAAATCGCGTGTGCTTATATTTATTACACCAATTATTCTGGCGTTTAGCCGCTTTGGAAGTGGACCGAAATAACTTCCGCGTCAGTCTCGTTGAGTTGATATTAAATTATAAATATTCATCTATTAAGAATGCATGAAACTGTATTACAGCCTGCTCATTCCGGTCCTTAATTCAGTCAATTCACCTACAAATATCGTAATCACAGTCAGCAAATGCTTGACAAAAAATTTAAAACCGTAAATATCAGCATACCTTTGTTATCTCTCTCATTGAATTTCTCCCATGTGCTGGACGAGTTTACATTAGCAATGGGAGCATACAGCACTCGAGGATCAACACCCAAAGCATCTACTAAGGCAATACTGTGCGGAGCCAACGTGGCCACTACAGTTCTGATTAATGGTGGAACATCTCTGGCTGAGTCTTTTGTTATAAGATCGTTGACCATATACCAAGAGAGATTGGCTTCAATTTGGGTCAATGCGTACAAACAAGCTAACTGATGCAGCAACTCCCTGTTACATGAAAATTGTAAAATTAGTGTTGTCCACAAGAAAAGCAGTGTAAATATCCATGTGTACCTAGAACGTCCTTGTAATTTGTTAATGGCAATTAGGGTTTGCTCAAGAACAATCCTTCCACCATGTGCCTTAGCAAGTGCTTGAATAATATCAGACTCTTGTCGCATCCAAACATCAAAGAGAGCAGCACCCGCATTCATTTTCGTTGACATATTGTTATCGAGCTAACAATAAATTACCAGTTATTTAACAGAAACTATTATATAAGAACACTTATATCTGATATTGAATATAGCACAATAATCCAATTGGAAATATCAACTGAGCCTTCGGTTAAATATCTCCCTATTATAATAAACCATCGTTTGGAACTCACCTCTTGCAATAGGCCTCTCTCTCTCAATATAAACAGTTTCATCAAATTCTCTAGCTTACTCAGATCCCACGTTAAAGCAGCAGCAGCATCTGGTACGTCGGGTAGCTTCACGAGGCCAGATTTGACATCTGCCAATAATTCCTTTGATACCTTCTGCATTAAAACTGAATTGTCTCCCTCTGCCGTCATGCCAGAATGAGCCAATCCGATAAAACCAGCAAATCTATTAACACTAAGATACCCTTGCCCGCCACAACGCTCCCTGCACGTGGCGCCAGTCCTTTCAAAATTCCAAGTTACGAGAGGTTTGATAACACAGCAAAGACGTACAATGTCTTTGACATCTTTTCCCGTCTTGTGGTCAATAAAAAATGAGAAAAATGTAGAGAAACCCCCTCCCCAAAATGAGAATTAATAAAATTAATGTAACCTGTTTTGCCCATCTCGTTTTGCAATAGTTCAAACCGATATTTAGCACAGTCGTTGTGGCTAATAAAGGTAACAGAGCCCTCTGTTGAAGTTGGTATGCCAATATAGCCGTATCGCTAAAAAAAAAGTTCATGATAAGAATTTATTTATTGTAACCAGAACTTATTGATACACTCTTTACAAACCTTTTGCCATTAGGACCAACACAAAGACGAGAATTTGCATAGCGAAAGGCAATAGAAAGACAAGCTGTTCGACATCAACGGCTTCAAGTGTTAGCAACAAATCTGTCGGTGCGCAATCAAGCAGACACGTACGCGAGAGTACCTTTTGTTCCCCCAAGACACATTGACGCAATTGCAAGCCTTCCAGAAAGAAGCTGATCTGCCACTTTCAAGAATCGTCTGTAAAATACGTGTGCAATATTAGAACAACTTTTTCCCCAAATGTAAAACAGAAACTGAGTAATTAAACACTTACCCTCTGCGACTAGTAATGGAACTTGTAAAGTTGTTATTCTCGTCAATGTTCGAATACCTGTTGAGCAGGTTATCTACTGGTACTCGAACCTAAATGATGTATTTAAATGTGATTATTTATTCTATGTCTCAGCTTAATGGTAGATTTCGCGCAAGGCTGATTTCAAAGGCTGAAGAGTTTGGAAAGGAAGTTAAGATAGTTGGAGAGGCATAT